CGGGACACTTTCTCTCTCTCCTGGGACGATGAACGGGATGACGATGCGGTTTCTTCCTGGTGGACCATATTTTGTTGAGAGAGACTTAAATCTTTGCCATGTACCATCATCTTCCTTCAGAGGGCTAACACTGATATTTGGGATCATGCGTCCTCCAGCTTTCTTCAGTGAGTTCCAGTAGTTTGGCAGGTTCATGGGTTGATATTTGTCAAGAGGAATCTTGTCGCCTTTTTCTTTTCTACGGTAAAAAACTCTGTGCTGTGGCCTCATTTTCCCTGTTGCAATGCCATAGGTTACATCAGGTGTGGTGGCACAGTTCCACGGAGAGTACAGGACCAGGTCAGTGATGGTGGGCAGAGGCAGCAAACACTTGGCTGGGATCATGGAGTCTGTGATTGATCCATGTGCCACAAAGATTATGTCAACAGTGTCGCTGTGGTTCTTCTTTTCTTCCTCATCAATTTTACTTTTCAGGAAATCAAACATGTCTGAGAGTTTTCTGAAGGTGCCAGACTCTGAATTTTCTCTCAGCCACTGCAGGACAGTTTCATCTTTGCAGTTTTCTGTTGCAAGGTTTATTAATCTTTTCAGCATTTCCCTTTTAGAAAAACAAACAAACAAACAGACACACACACACACAAATTAGTGAGTGCAGACATCTTTGACTGGATCACTGTGAGACTACAGAAAACTGAACCTTTAAGTGTCTGAGTGAGGTCATAACTGATGCCAACTGTTTAGTTCTGTTGTGATATTTTTAATCATAAAATACTTCCTACCATCCTGTGATAGACACCATGTCCAGCCTGTCATTATAGACTTCAAATCACTACATTGAACTTCTGCAGTCAACCATGGCTAATAGACCTGCGGAAGCTCAGCATGGAGCGAAACTAGACAATTGTCAAGTCAAACCGAGTAGGAGGGGGAGAGCCCTGAGGCAAAAAAGTAAAAGTGACAGACTGGAGGGCGGAACTATTCTTGTGTCTGGGTTTCTTTCGGGAAGGGAAAAGAAGGCAAACTGGGGGGCAACAGGAAGTTGCCACTTTCGGGAAAAGCCCAGCATAATTCTTTCAATAAGTTGTCGCCAACATGAATATTGTGTGGAACTGAAGTATCTACAAAGCCAGGGAGGCAGCCGGTAAGGGAATGGTTGCTGACTATGGTAAAAGACTTTGAAGTGAGTTGCTAAAGAATCGCGGCTGCCGCTTGCTTACGTAGCATTAGCACTGTGCTGTGAGTTGGTCGCCTGTTTACGAGCGGCACCATTGTTTATTGTTGGTCTGCATATGGAAGACTGTTAATGCTTGCATATGGTTAAGAGAAGCTGGTTATAAATACTATTGTTACTGCTGTAATATAAAGCAGTATTTCTCAAGGTGTACAATTGTTAGTGAATTACATAATTTGAGCATTTAAAAATACTCAATTAAATATTGTACTACAAAGCTTACGCACTGCATTGATGTGTTTAAAAAAGAAACTGTGTTTGGGATTGTTTACAATATTTGCAGATGTGTGATAACAAATATAATTTGTATATTGGGTTTTGGTTTGTATTTAAAGGTTTTTCACCTATGGCTGACTGTGGCCGAAAAGAAGATTAAAGAAAAAGGAAAACAAAAGATCTGCATGGTCATTGAGTGAAATCCAGTTAAACACCTGTGGTAGATGCATCAATCCCTTTCAAGCGGGGAAGCTGCGCAAACTTAAAGAGCTTGACAACAATAAAGTGCATTAAAGTGCAAAACAATCTGGAGGCTCGTTCATGTAAACTTCATTAAAGAAGTGAAACTGGCTGATAGACAGCAGACACCTTTAAACTACTGGAAGCTTCTGCAATTGTAATTAAACTCAAACATATGTTCTAATATGACTTCTGTGTGACTTTCTTTTTAAATCTGACCTCAACAAAAAAAAACAACAACAACAAATAAAACAATTGCTTTTATAGTTTGATGTTTCCGGAACAGCTTTTTAAAAACAGACACAGAAAAGACGACAAGATGTGGATGGAGTGCATTAAATAGACTTTTAAAATAATCCCACCAGTTCACATCGAAGGCATCTGGTGAACATGTCATCACAGTGTTGTCTTCAGTGCAGTAGTACTGCTCCTGCAGATACTTCCTGTCAGATTCCCGTCCTGTAGACTTATCACTCAGACAGGTATCAAGGTGCACGGTGGCTTTAAACCTGGAAGAGAGGAGCACCAGGGACAGAGCCAAGGCAATGGCAGAGAACGGGACACTTTCACTCTCTCCTGGGAGGATGAACGGGATGACGATGTGGTTTCTTCCTGGTGGGCCATATTTTGTTGAGAGAGACTTAAATCTTTCCCACACACCGTCATGTGGCTGCAGAGGGCTAACACTGATATTTGGGATCATGCGTCCTCCCACTTTCTTCAGTGAGTTCCAGCAGTCTGGCAGGTTCGGGGGTTGCTGTTTGTAAACAACAGTTATACTATGGAAAAAAAACGGTAGTGGAAGATCACGGAAAAAAATCCTGTGCTCTGGCCTCATTTTCCCTGTTGCAATGCCATAGGTCACTTCAGGTGTGGTGGCACAGTTCCAGGGAGAGTACAGGACCAGGTCAGTGATGGTGGGCAGAGGCAGCAAACACTTGGCTGGGATCATGGAGTCTGTGATTGCTCCATGTGCCACAAAGATTATGTCAACAGTGTCATCATGGTTCTTCTTTTCTTCCTCATCAATTTTACTTTTCAGAAAATCAAACATGTCTGAGAGTTTTCTGAAGGTGCCAGACTCTGAATTTTCTCTCAGCCACTGCAGGACAGTTTCGTCTTTGCAGTTCTCTATTGCAAGTTTTATTAATCTTTTCCTTTCAGCAGAGCTCCTGGGACTTTCAGGGCGACATGCAGCAGCCAGCCTTTTCCTTTTATAAAACAACAAAAAAAATAAATCTTTTTTTTTAGCAAGTGCAGAAAGCTTTTCCTGGATCACTGTGATACTAAAGAGAGTGAGGTCATATATGAGCACACATATGCAGATCTGTTGTGATATTTTTAATCATAAAAGTTTTCTGCCACCCTGTGACAGACAGCATGTCCAGCCTGTCACTATAGAGTTTGACTTTAGCTGAGTTTCACTTCTAATCACTACATTAAACTTCTGCAGTGAACCACAGATAAAATACCTGCAGGTTCATCTTAACTCTACATCCTATTAACAGAAGATTTGCTATAATTATAACGAACTCTGTGAGGAAGGATTTCATGTAAAAAATAAAATAGAGGCAGGTATGACCTCAGGTTTATCACTCAGCTCTCTTTCTACTTTTTCTTTTAAAACTGGATTCATGTTCATTTGATTTCTGTCACAGCTTCAAATCTCCACCACCCCATAATGTTCAAAAAGCCCCATTCAAAAAGCGGATTTAGACACAATTAATTTAAATAGTTTTCTTCATTGTACAGTGACTGAAATATGAAAATCTTTATTATCTTCCAAATAAATTTGTTCGTGAGAGACTCACAGAATTTCTGCTTGCATTTCCATCGCCTCTAAAAAAGCCATGGCTCTCAGAGCCATGATGAGTTCGAGTTCGTCTTTGTCCATATTCAGTCGATGATCAGCTCAGGAACACAAAGCAGCTCCTCCTCCTGCGACCTGAAGAAGAACCAAAGTCAAGTGTAGCTGTAGCACAGTGATATTATTCTGTTTTAAAGACCTTCAAAGTGAACAAAGACACGCCCACTCAGATTTACACTGTTTCTATTATTTTGTCCACCTGATTTTTGAGT